TGTGTTGTGTTGTTTGTGTTGTGTTGTGTTGTGATGTGTCGTATCGTGTCGTGTTGTGTTACATGTAGTGCCGACGAAGGACAGTTTTCCAGTTTAATTGTACTACTGTACTATGTATGACTGTGCAATGACAATAAAGAGTTATCTTATCTTATCTTATACTTTACAGAATCTTTAAGGTTCACTTATTTTATTTACCCAGACTGTATGAAAGAGGTGTGGCACACACAGTTTTGAAGAAAGACGTGTACATATTTAAGTTGTCACACTGTCATAATAATCACACATCACTGAACTAATAAAATGGACAGAAAGCAGTGTCAGTTAAATATGATTAGTGCCACTCTTCATATTTAATTCACACTGCTTTTAATTCGCTCCAAACCAAAGATCTCGCCTTCCCCCTGTATTATTTCTGTTTGTACATCCTTGAATCCTCTTTTTACCTCCATTCCACACATTCACCAGAGATTGAGGCAGAGGAGACAAGACACACGCAGAGAGGAGCTGAGACAGTAGGCATTTAATGACACATCTTTGCTTTAATACATCTTCTTACACTTATCTTTATCAGGGTCACTGGAGCCTATCCCAACTACCACACGATGAGAGACAAGGTCACCAGTCTGACGCAGGGCTAACACAGAGCATTGTTCTGTTAGAGCTCAACTGCAGCTGTATTTTATAATCTCAGCCAGACAACCATTCACATCTATCGGCAATTTAGAAGTACCAGTTAACCATGTCTTTGTCAATGTCAGAATGTCTTTGGACTGTAGGAGGAAGCTGGAGTACCCGGGCAGAACCCACTCAAACACAGGTTAGAGTTAAGCATGTTCTCTCCATGTTAGGGGGGAAAGCTCACACAGAAAGGCCCCAGCCACATGGTGGCATTGATCTCAAGATCTGTTTGCAATATCAGTTAAATATGAGTTGGTACAGTTTCAGACTGCATTGTTCTGTTAAAGCTCAACTACTGTCGTATTTTATAATCTCCGGTGTAAAACTAACTTTAAACCATGACATTTCTTTTTCATACAAGGCAACTTTGAATGAAATTTACAACTAGCATAAAGTGACAAGATGATGCACCTTTTTCTGTCACATACATAAACCGTTTTGGATTGCACAGTTTATCATTTGCAATGAGTGAAGCAGCTTATGAATACATAGGAATAATTGTTTGTAGAGTCCTCCACCCTCCTTGGGTTGTATTTTCCAGCTGCATGCCACACCTCCTTTGTACACTGAAGTCAATTACACTTCCACAAAGGATACAGCTGTGCATCCTCAGATATACCTGAGTCTGTCTTCGACATGCATTTCAGAATTCGAGATATCCTTCAATATGTTGTAACAAGATTGATGTCTGGGTTGCAGGCAGAAACATGGTGGACACAGAACACAAAGATGGACAAATGAGGTAAATGAGAACTGCATATTTGGTGGGAGGGACTAAGGCACAAGCAGAAAAGAAAAGGGAAAAGAATTGAGGATGTAAAATCTGATGAAGGGGGAAGTTGCTTTCATTATGTGTGCATCATGGCAAGTGTGGTTCTGGAGACCCCTTACTAAAGCAGGAACAACCACACTGGTGGCTCTGAGGTTTTTGACAGGGGTTTATATGCCACAACTATGCAAGATTCAGTCACGAAGCTTAACAGGTGTGCAAATAAAGGCTCGTTTTGAAGATGGGTGTGGTTCAACCAGCTGTTAAATGAAGCAAACAGCTGTTAAAGGAAGTATATGTAGTGTGCAGGTGGGATTTATATGAGAGTCTCCTCCTATAAATCATATCTTTATCCAGTGTGTAAACAGATAATGTTCTTACCTGCAGAGGGCATTGTTTGAGTCTTTGTGTCTGTGTGTGTGAGTGTCAGGATGCCAAAATGACTTCATGCAGACACCAACTGAAGCAAGAACTACCACAAAGGTTGCTTTGAGTGCTTTTGCAGGTGTTTTTCTGTGGTCATACAGTCAAAAACGATGCAGGTGAGATCAAACTGAACTTTGCGTATAGGTGTGGTCTGAAAACTCATCTGTGATATGGCTGGTATCATCTCATCCCAATCCCATCTCATGGATGGGTTGTCATTTTTTGATTGCGTTTACTTTGTTTTTTGATTGATAGCCACTCCAGACACACATGTGAATTTCTGAAAGAACCAAGAAAAAGTAAGCAAATACCACAACCTTCCACCCTATTCAAGTCATGCATCGCTCCAACGTGTAGTTACATTCCTCAGGGCATGCATGCCAGGTTACATAGAAGGTTATGACGCAGAGTTAAACTGGTGTAAGCTATGACCTAGATCTGACGCAGAAATACAATTCACATGGTGGGACATCTTGAGCACCAGGCAAGATGTCCTCACCCCACAAATTATAATTCACACAATGCAAATTTGTCTTTTTAATTATTAATGGATTTCCCAACCTTTTACCCGATCTAAATCTGATTGTAATCTGAACCCCTCAACAACCATCTAAAAATTGGCCTGAAAGTGAAAACTGGCCAAAGAGCTTAACCCCCAAAAGTACAAAGCTCACAACCACATAAGACTAGTTGTAAGTTATGAATACCTGTTTATTTTCCAGTCTTTTAACTTAAATCTGAATCCTAAAACCAAGTTTGCAGTCTTGCCAGCCTGTGAATGTATGTCTCAAAATGAGCACTGGCTAAGATGTCCTCAATCCCCAAAGTACTAATCACACAAACACAGATCAGTACTGCAACAACATTTCCCAGCCTTTTCTTCCTAATCCAAGGGTGGAACCTAAAAACACAGGAGGGGGGGAATCCCTTTGAATATCACTTCAAGAAGGTGAGTACTGGCCAAACTGTCCCTGTAGGTCCCCCACAAAGATATGCGTGCGCAGTACACGCATGCACGCGCGCTCACCTCCTCCGTCCTCTCCTCCTCGCTCTCAGAGTTGTTCAGACTTGAGGGAGGAATGGCGGCCCCTCGGAGTTTCTTCATCTCTCTCTGCGGTTTATACCTGCTTTTATATTTCCCATGTGGATCTACGACATCGGGCACCAGAAGAGCGAATCAGGATCGATGCGGGTTTAAGGTAAAGCACAGAATTGAACATTATCCCTGGTGTTCAGCGACTTTTCGTTAAAGCTGTCGCTGCGACGTTTCAAGTGTCCAAAAAGTTCCGTTTTCGGAGACGGTCGTGTTTTTATGTCACTTCTGTAGTATATGCAGTCAGGTTCTTGATGAATAAGCCGCCAGTTTAACACATTCACGTGTGAAGTTAGAGTTATGCTCGCTTTTTATTTAATTTGCTGTGTTTTTAATCTCAGGGTGCGTTACCTTTACCTGTCTGTCTGCGGGGTTCTAGCTGCAGGTCTTTTGCGTAAGGCTGCGAGCCAAACTCCGTTGGAACAAGAATTAATTGATCTTTTTCTCCTTTTATTGGAAATTTGCAGCCCCTCATAAGCAACTTCAGACAAATGTCTGAATGAGTCTGATATCATGTTTAATTCGGCATATAATAAAATAAAAATGATTTTAGTTGCTTGACACTATTATCCTTTACCTAATCTCCAGTCTGGTTGGAAGCGTAATTCAAAGAGATAGCAAGGGGGTGTTTAAAAGTTTATAAACAAAACAAAAAAAAACTTATTGATGATATTTATGTGTTGTGTTTGCCGAGTTGAACGCATATTTTTCTGCTTTTAACCAAAACGCTTTAAACATATTGTCGATATAAGTTTTGTCGCTTTGTGGCAAGTCTTAATATCCTTAATTATTAGTCATCAGTGTTTGGTGTTCCCTTGTCCTGTTCGGCATTTATGTAATGCTACAAAGTGCACATCACTTGGTTAAAACTCTAACCCCAACAGCCAAAGTCGAGGCGATATTTGCAGGCCCTGTAAATTATCGTAGGTCGTAAAGCTGATTTCCTGCCTTTTGTGTAATCTTTTAAAAGCAATTGATGTGGAAAACAGGAATATGTGAGCTGACCCACCGCCTCCAAACGCTTGTCCTGCTTTTGTACTTCACGGCAGCCTTGCTTTTGGCCATGAATGAACCAGTGTTTGGTCTGTGCCAGTTCAGAATAAGTCTCTAGATTCCGTAAAGGCCAGTGTGCATGAATTTCACTGCAATGTGAAAAGAACAAGTCTCAGAGATTTTTCATTTGTGGGAATTTCTATAGTTTCTATCCTCAGGCTTGTTTTCTCCTCCTCTCTGTAATGAATTTAAACATCATAAATGTTAGTTTATTTCAAAGGTCCCAAGGACCTCATGTTTGTGTTGGGTTTTCTTTATTACTGAAAAAGGTAGATTTTTTTTGGCCATTAGACTTAAGCTCCTGCAGTTGATAATTCAACATTGAACGTTTGTTGTTTTTGGCCAAGTAAAATTGTATCATGTGCTTAGGCTGCACAATTAAATAATTAAACAACTAAATATAGAAAAATTGATAAAGGCAGGGGAGAGTTGTCAATAGTTATTTCTTTCAAATATTGATTTTTATTTTCTTTCTCTGAATCACACCAACAGGTCAGGGAGTACAGACTAAGCTGAGATTAACTGATGAGTTTCAATCATTGCCAGTTAATCTGTAAACCCATCTCAATTATTCAGTCATTTATTTTAAATGTGGCTCATTAAAGTTGCCAAGAGTGCCAAATGTGACGTCTTCAGGTTTTTTAGTGTTGACTATTATTTACACTGATCATATACTCTGGTTACTGTCATATATGACAAAAAAGATAAGCAACCTCTCACAATGGAGAAATTGAAGTTAGAATATACTTGTCAGTTTATCTTCCATAAAATAATAACTCTATTATGAAGTGTTAAGAAACTGTTTTTTGTTTCCATGTTTTTTTTAAGTGAAATAAAAGTTTCTCTGGTTGCATGTGTGTCCACTCTGCAGGTTTTAATTTTCCTATGTTGATAGATGAGTCCTACATGCCTTTGATACGCTCACTCTCCTTGTGTGTGTGTGTGTTATCCTGGTTTCCTCTTTGGCTTTGAAGTGTTTTCTACAGGAAGCTTCACACTGTTTACTCTGCTGAAACATTCCTTCCTGCAATATACCCCCCCCCCCCCCAGACACACACACACACACACACAGTCTGCCACCTCCCCCTCTCTTCTTCTGCTTCCTCTCCTTTCACACACACTTCAAAGGCTGCTGGATGGGGGTGTGAGGGCCTGCTATTCTACAGGTGTGAGGTTATTAGAGCTGCGCGTGTGTGCGTGTGTGTGCGTGTGTGTGCGTGTGTGTGCGTGTGTGTGTGTGTGTGTGTGTGTGTTAGTTTTACGTGTCAGCATCATGCAGGAAAAGGCTCCTGATTCAGGATAGATATTAAGTGTCATTTTAATAACCTCTTGGTTTCAAACACTCCATCTTCTTCCCACAGTCCAGTGACATGGATGATGTAAGGATGCGCTTGTCCAACATTTTCCACTTCCAGTAGAATATTGATACCTTTGTGTTGTGCTAAGTTACTAAGCTATATGAAGAAGAGACTGGGAATCATTCCTTTGTTAGGGACGTGGCTGCTTTGACTGTCATGTGTCCAGGTACAGGCTGTGAATGCCAGACCTCACCTAGTGTCACTGAGCTGTATATCTACCCTGTGTTCAAGCTGTTGGTGCCTTGTAGAGTATTTTCATCAGACTAATATTCTGGCTTACTTAATGGTACAGAGCATGCAATAAGTCTGAGATTCAGTTTTTGTGAGTAAAATCTTAGTATTTTAGCTAGCTAACCCAATTTGCTAGTGCTAGCTGATGCATTAGGACTGAAGCTTTTTGATCAAATCTGGTAACTTCTGAAAGCAGAAAAGCACCAGAAAAACCCAAACTTTGAGGCGTCAAAACACAGTCTTAAGCCAATGGGTGATGTCACTATAGCTACCTAAATCTTTTATACCCAGTCTCTGGTCCTGAAACATTTGCAGATTATACTTTTTTTTTTTTGTAAGGGTTAACAGACTCAGAATAAGAGTCAGCATACTTTATTAATCCCGAAGGAAATTATGTGGGTTACAGTTGCACCATTATAAATACCAGTAACAGAAACAGACTATTTAACAATACAATATGTTAGAGATTTAAGAAATTTAGGAAATATGAACAATATATATAAAAATCGCTCAATAATAAATATCACGGATTGACAGAGGTGATTATAAATCACTCGGTACAGATATCCTGGAAAATACTCAATACCATTTTCAGTGGTATCAGTTGCTGCTTAAATAGTTGGGGGGTTTTTTGTTTTGTTTTTTTTTAAGCAGGATGCTGCTGTCCTTTTTTGCTGGTAGACTTTACAGACATTAAACATTACAGATGGGCACGACTTTAAGGCTCCTTATCATTTTATTATTAGCTGCTAGCTGCTAACTTAACAGATGGCTAATGTGGCTGTCAGACTAACGGTTGCATTTACGATGTGTCTTTAATACTTTACGGACCTCCCGAAATTGCTCATGACATTTGTTCTGTGGCGTCAAGATCAACTGCTTCAGCTGCTAGTGAGGGGAGGGGCTGTGTGCCTGCCTGTCTGTAGCAATTGTGTGTGATGTTGTGCATTAATACTCCTGCAAATAAGTATCTCATCTGTTTATTAGTATCGATTAATATCAGATTTTTTTGATAAACCTACTCAACATTCCTGCTTTGAAGAGCTACATGTTGGTCAAACTCAATGAAACCTTTGTAATCCAGATGTTGGCTGCAGTGCCTCTAATGATGCTATGAAGTTTATTTAATTTAATTAGCTAATGTAGCCTGTAAGCTCCAAGCCTCTACATTTATTTTAACGGTCTTTAAATTGCTTGCTCAGATTTCTTCAGCTCCCTCTGGAGCCTTGCAAGACTATTGCAGTTTTTACAAAGCTGGTGTAGTATTCATCAAAACAATTAAACAAGCTTTTATGTGTGAAAACAATTGTGTTTGTCTACATGGATAAATAGTAGGGTTTGTTTGTTTGTTTGTTTTTAAATTGCAAATGTGTTAAAAGGAGGTTTGATATTAATCCTGAAACTCATGGAGGAAACCTCCTTTTTTCCCTACATCATCCAGAAACCCGGTTACTGCAGAGAAAGCTAGAATGATAGATGATTTAAGTCAACGTAAAATCTCTTTTTGTAGTGAAACACATCTGCTGAAGCCATCACATCTGTCTCAGCGGAGGAAGGAACTCATTCGGCTTCCTCCTCTCTGTATCCCTCTCTGGATTCTTCATCCTCCCGTCTCTACCCTGCCATCATTTTTCAAATAAGGTTTCCCCTGTGAAACCATGTCACATATCTAGGGCGTCGGTGTGGTTTTGGCATCAGGGAGCCTCAGAGGACATCGTGGCTGGGTAGGCGTCGGATGGGAAACGTGTGTTTTCTGATTTCTGGCGGCTGAAACAGGCAGAAGGTGAAGCGTGAGTGCTGGAGCTCCACCTCTATCATAAAACAGCTCAGGGAAATATTTTTCATCGCTGTCCTCTGAGGCTTTCTGAGGAAAAACTGAGTTTTACAACTTGAACTTTACTTACGTATGCGCTGGAAATGTCCTAAACAGCCCTGAGCAGAAGTACGAGGTAATAAAAGGAAAGCGAGGATGCTTTAAAAACTTATGCAACGAACAGTTTTGATTTATTGAGTTAATATTTTGTTCTTAAACCTTTGGAAAACTTGCCACAGTTCTTCTGTGGATTCACGCTGCCTCAGTGTGATTCCATCTCTTCATGTCTTCATGAGTGAATGATGTTAAGCTCCGGTCTGCATGCCAAAGTCTCCCTGGTACCTCCAGTTGATCTATGTTGCGTTTTTCAGAATGTGAAAGCACTTAGGTAGAGAAAAAAGTGCATGTGTGGATGGTGAGTGCTCCAGTACAGAAGAAAAGTGCTATATAACAACTAGTCCATTTAGGATTCTAAGTATCTGCTATTCTTCTGGGTGAAGATGTTTTGTTTTTTTTGTTTTTAAATAACCATTTCAACACATGTACTGCAAATCTTAATTTTTTTAGACACCTTAACAGAAATATAAATGATCTTCGGTGGATCTTCCAACTTCCATCGTCTAAAGTCTGTCGTGGTTTGACTAATCCTGT